AACTGCTTCATTTGTATCTCCAGATTCTCCGTCTGGCCTTGAACTGTGGCCAAGTGGGAACTGGGTTTTGGTCCAGTTTTTTGTGCTTCAGCGGTCTCCAACTTCGGGTTTTCGACCGCTTTCTGAACAGCTTCAATTGTCTTCCTGGATAAATTTCCAGAAAAACTGCCAAAGATTGGCATGTTGATGTGGTCCTTTGAGACTTCGACCATGGTGATTCCTGGCTTCTTCGACTGGCTCCTGGTTGCCTCTATCACGTTCACCTCAGAGGGCTCAGCATAGTGGGCTTCAGCCTGCAATGGATTTGAGTCGACAGCCATGGGGGTTTTGTCAGCAAACTTCAACCTCCCTTCTTCGATAACGTCTTGCACAAGATTCCTGAAAAGAAAACATTGAGAAGTTTTATGGCCCAAAAAATTATGATATTTGCAAAAACCTCTCTTCTTTCTTTGATCAAGAGGAGGCACTTTTACCCCTGGGGGTACTATCATTTGGCCATCTTTAACAAGCAAGTCGAATATTTCATCACATTTTGTGATGTCAAAACTATAAGTCTTTTTGGGGAACCTATCGTTGGTCTTTTCTGGACCAATGGGATTTTTCCCACTTGAGGGGACTAACAGTTTACAAGAGTATGGTGGCCCCTGTTTCAGTTCTGCTAAATCGACTTCTCCTTCTTCGACAGTTAAAGTATCGTCGAAGGATTCTGGATCTTCGTCATCCATCTCAACGTACGCTATCCTCTCTCTCTTGTGAGTTTTCGTTGCCTTTGCTTTTTCAGCTTTGAGGTGTTCTACCTGTCGAACTCTATCGGCCAGTTGGGCCATGTCTCTCAGGTATTGGGTGTCTAGCTTCTTCCTAATGGAATAATCTAAACCGCCTGCGGCTATTTCGACTAACTCATGTTCTGGCACTTGTGTAAAACATCTCGCTTTGAGCAACCTAAACCTATTTAGATATTCGTCTATAGGTTCAGTGAAACGTCTCTTCATACTGGCCAATTCTTTCAGGCTTATCTTGGTTTGCCCCATGTAGAATTGTTCATGGAACAATCTTTCCAACTGGGTCCAATGATGGATCGAATTGGGGGGGAGAGTTGTAAACCAAGTAAAAGCGTTCTTTGTTAAAGAACTTGGGAAGTACTTGATCCTTAGGTTTTCGTTATTCGAAATGTCACCTGCTTCGATCAAGTATCTCGCCACATGCTCGACAGTAGATTTTGTCGTGTCCCCTGAGAACTTAGTAAATTTGGGGACTTTGCATCTAGGAGGTAAGTCCGTTTGTAACACGTATTCTGACAATGGGGATGTAAAGTTGGGCCTTCGAAAGCCCATGTTCATCCCGTTTTGAGTCATGATCCTTTCGATCATGGTTGCCAGATTATTTTCCAAACCCGTATTTTGGTATTGGATATGCTGGACTACTTCGTCAGCATTTTGATTTCTGTTAACTAACCTTACCTCTGGGGTTATTACCCTAGGTTCCTCGACAGGTTGCTCCAATCGTGCCCTAAGGTTTTCTTCGACAGGCTGTTGAACCTGGTTAATGGTGGTTTCTTCCTCTAAAAATATCCCCTGGTTTCCCCTTATTTGCGCCCTTTGGGGCTGTCGAACAGGTTGGGGTACTCCAAAGAAATCAGCCAAACGCGTCATTTGCGCTGTCACTTGCTGATTCGATTGAGTAGTGTTTTGTATTAGAGGGTTTAGCACTGTACTCAAAGTTTGTGCCAACATTTGCACCATATCATGGTTGCTTTCGTCCATCTGTTGCCTCAAGACTGCTGTCGAGGCATTTGTAAGGCCATGGGCTACTTGGGACGTTCCTCCTAAGAGTTGGGTCCTATTTCTATTCGCCATGCCTACTCCAGAACCTTGGAGTGGCGAAGAGGCACTCACTAAAGGGTCTGAAAAAGTGGACGCAACATTCGTCAGGCTAGCCACTTCAGAAGTTGGCATACCATAGAGTGGCATAAATCCTGGGGGAACAAAAGGCCTTGTGCCTAAATTTCCCCTTGGTGGGGGAGTTCCCGAAGGTATCCTGGGGCCCGTGAACGAAGGTATTGGCCCCGTTGCTGTGACCGTTACTGCTGGTGTCGAACCAACAGTTGTCGCTTCACTTACGGTCGTACTAACCGTTGCTCCCACATTCGTTTGTGGGATTTCGTTATTGTTTGGCGGATTCGCCATCTCTTCCCTTCCTCTGGCAGTATTGTTATTGTTAGTGTATATTCTACCACTTCTCAATAACATACAACGCTCCTTGAAAAGATGAGATTATTTTCAACAATTAACACACAGTCCCACTGGGCGTGCCAATTTGTTTACCTTGGGATTTGGTAAACAACCGCTGATCCTCCAAATGGTTACTTATTTGGTTACTCGCAGGATCGATCAGATTGATCCTAGGACATAGGTTGATTTTGAAGTTTTGATTAAATTGGATAAGCTTTAAATAAAGAGGCTTTAAATAAATTCCATGAAGAAAGGACTTGGTAAAATAAATAAGGCTTAAAGTAAAAGGCTTCGACAGGAATGTAAAGGAGAAAGCAAGTAAATTTCTGGAAAAGTAAATGACTTTGATTAATAAAGTTGGTGTTTCACACATACATTTCTCAACAATTCTTTCTCACACGCTGGGTACTCGAATCTATATGAGTGACTTTGTATGGAATCGTGAACACACGCGAGAAACTACATGACTACTACTATTTATACTAAAACATCCCAAGTAACCGTCGGGCAGTTACACTGCTTCGAGATGATTACACTTGGCACGTTCTCAATGTTCGACGCTCCAGATCTTCGCACGTCACACTTGGTAACCGCTGGAAACCGTTTTCCCTCCAAACGCTTGAATTTCAAACTGCTCCACTCTGAACCATCGAACAACTTTGTCGAGAGGCATCTTCGACGAGAAACTCCTTCGACGTCGAAGGCAACCAACTTCTCCCTTGGAAGAAATCTTCTAAGTACTTTGCCATCTTTCGATGGGCATTTCGACAGACCTAGCTAGTCGAAAACATCCTTCAGCTTTAATGGCTGACATTAATAAAACAAGGGTGTCGAATTTAGGAGCCAACACTTGGCAACATTGCTATCATGGTTATACGATGACCCACGCCCGTCCCGTTTACATCCAAAGATAGGGTTGCTTACCAAATCAATGGTAAGTCAACGATATCAAAGGAATAAAAATGCACAAGAAAGACATTTGAGTAGGTAGATAGCTTCTAGTTACTTGTTCCATTTCAAAACAATCCTTGCTATTTTCAAAAACAAGCACACACACATTTCAAAACCTCTTATAAAACATTGAAAACATTTTCAAAAGACAAACATCTTTGTATACGTTCTTACAAACGAGAATCATTACAAAGATTGCCTAAACAAATGGCCTCATTTACAAAATACTTTCAAAACCACACCAAACACCATTTCAAACAAAACAAAGCAAGTGATCTAAACAAGTAACTAAGAGCCCATGGAAAACCATGGATGAAAAGGGTGCTAGCACCTTCCCTTTTCATAATCTACCCCCCGAACTCAAGAAAACATCTCAAAGGTCTTTCCTGTGCTTTTTTACCTTTCCTTTTGGATAAAAGAAAAGTTGGTGGCGACTCTTGCTAACCGCGACATTTGCAAACACAAACGCAAAACCTCAAGTCAGTTCTCCCACCGTATCACACAAAGCTATCAAGAAACATATCAAAACAAACTAACAAGTAAGGCATGCACAAAGTTTCAAGAAGGAAAAACTTCAAAGAATCAATTCAAACATGTCTCAAACATGATAAAGTTCCACAAGAAGGTTGATCATGAACTAGGGAAACAATCTAACAAGTAATCACCAATTTACATCACCTAAATAACCACTTAGAACATGGAATTCAAATGATCAATCATCAAAACAAAATGCATCAAGGTATGATATAAACTTGGAAAAGAAACTCTATTCAACCTCATTTCAAATCCATAAGAAGTCTCAAAGAACAAAATCTTACAAACTAGGTTAAAGTTTAACCAAACATCAACGATTTGAAGCAACAAAGAGATTCAATTAATCACTTAGAAAATGACCTATAAAGGTTCAAAACATCCATACAAAAATGCATCAAATCATGCTAAGAATCACATTACGTGTGTCAAGGAGTTTCATAAAAAATATTGCACAAATGCACATCAAACTTTAGCATCGTGTTCTAGAGGTATCAACACTCATCATCACAATTTTATTCCTAACTACGCAAATACAAAGCCTACAAAGGTAAGACTTCATCTCATGGCATCTCTATCCTACTTCTCATGTCAAGAATGATCTAAAATGATACTTAAATGAGAGAGTAAAATTGAGATTCAAGTGGTACCTAACACATGAAGGTATGTTGTCTCTTCAACACGCACAAAAAGCTCAATAACACTTGCAGAAGCATCACATGATCAATCAAATTAATGCTCAAGCATTTCATATCACAAAAAGTTTCATCAACATTCTATCACAAAATCAACGAGAGGAAAGTGGCAACAAAAGTTAATCATGAAAGGTGAAGGAAAATAAGGAAAAATTCTCAATTAAATTCTAAAAGAGAAATCCAAAAATCAATTAGCACTTTTACTGTTTCACCATGTATTTTTATGTATAAAATTATGAGAAGAAAAATTAATATGGGAAGAAAATTAAATCCCAACCAGAGGGGTGTGCAAGTATAATGTTGGGTGCTGAAAGAATTGGAATTAAGCCCAATGAACAAGGTCCACCAGCAATTTTACAAGCAAAAGGTGCAACAAAAAAACACAAGGAATGGGCGTATGGGAATTTCGATCCACAACACCATCAACAACACCATCAACATTATTTGCATATTATTTAATATTAGCATTACTCTTATTGTTATAAAAAAAGAAAATCAGATTTCAAACAAAGAAATAATAAAAAATTGGAGATAGGGTTAAGAAATATGGATATTCGTGAAACCTCTTCTTCTCTCTTTCACTTTGCAAACGATGTCGTCGTCTTCTCAACATTCGATTCTTGCCGATGTTCCTCTTCTTCTAACAACGGCGCAATTCTCAGCTATTTCTCCACTCAAATCCTCTCTGTCAACTCTCGTCTCTAACAATCTCTCTCTGTTCGTCTCCCTCACGAATTCAAATGGATAAAGAATAGTTTAAGGGACATTTGAGTTTATTTTGAGTTAACTGATAAGGACAATATATCATATATGAATATTTATTATTTCTTTTTTATTTCAATGGTTTCCTTTCAATGTTGTTGTTGATTTTATTAATTGTTGATTTGTTCAAATTACTCATTGTTGTTTGATAACATGTTGAATTTCTGACATTTGCTCATTGTTAATGTTGTTTTTGTTCATTGTAGGACATTATTGACAAATTTTCATGGAGTTATGCTAATGAAATTCAACGGAATTTTCGGACCTCTAAAATACTTGGAGTGACTTTGTTCCAGTAAGAGATTTGGAGTAGAAGTCTGATATTTGTTTGTGTTTACTTAAGTACAAATGGCATATCAAGTTGAGGGTATTTTGTTTCTTATTAGAGATGAAGTTGAACAGGAATGAGGTTGCATAATTGTGTTGCCAGATTTTATGACACAATGATTAGAGGAGCACACGCTTACTTGGCTGTTAGCAGGTTGGTGAAAATGCTATACTTTGATCTTCTTAATAAAGTATGCAATATGCAAGTGTTTGGCATCATAAGTTAACAAGGAAAAAAGTCATTTTTGCAAATATGGAACCAAAATGGTAGAAAAGAATTTGAAATGTATAGAAACCACATTGAAATTTTACCAATTTAATCTTAAGCCTCATTAGGAATGATCCTTTTGCTTTATATTTTTTATGTGTTGATAGATTTGAGGATGTCTTGAGTATGCATTAATATTTTTATTTGAATGTGATACATTTATTGATTTTCTCATTCATTCAAATTGAAATTGATAAAATGTGCATATGTTTTGATCTCTTACTCATTATTTTTAATAAGGGTCCATCTCTGTTAGGTTATCTTGCTATGACTTCCAAAAAGGTAAATTATTTGAGTATAATATATTAATATTTTAAAAATATTTATTTATTTATTTATTTATTTATAATTTATATATAAATTATTAAATGAAGTTATATAGTTTTCATCTCCTGACCTAGGTTCCTAGCTCCGCCACTATGTGCAGGTCGTGATCCTATAAGGGCATGGTTTGAAGGACTTGGTCAAGGAGGTCACTTGAGGAACATGAAGTTGGTTAAAAGATCTTGTGATGAATGAAGATGAATAAATTCATGAAAATTGGGGTTTTTGATTTAGGACTTGGCATGAAGATTAGAGCTAAGGCAATATATTTAGGTTTTTGATAGTTTTTCATGTAAATTAATTGTACTCTTTATAATGATGATGTTGTACTGATACTAGCATCATAAGTTCTTTGTAATGAACTTTGAAAACAAAACTTCATATATTTCAAGTAACATTATGAAATTCTAGAACTCACAATATAAATGTTTAAGATTGATGTCTCGAAACACAAGTACAATGTCACGATAGATGTTATGACATCTACTGACAGAATAGAAACTTTTATCAAAATTAAAACTATGCAGAATTATAAAGTGTAGAAGATAAAAGAACACATAGAGTAATCCAGTTTTCTAAGCCTAAACAATTTTGGTTTACAACTTATCACTTAATCCCTACCTAATAAATCTTCTACCTAGGCACCTCCTAGGTATGAGAAATATCCATCTCACTTCCAATCACCATAGTGATATCTACAATCACAATCCCAGTGACTAGAATATACAACCATAAATCAATGACTAAAAAATACAATTGAAGATCACACTTCAATTAGCAAAGCTCAAACTCTCTTGCTTAAAAGCTTTAAGAGTGAGACAATAACTTGACAAACTTGTCAAGTAACAATCAGTCAACTCAAATGGATCAAGAGATGTATAAGGACATACAAACAAAAACATAAACCCCTTGAAGTACCCTCAAAACCTAAGGCTAATAAAATTCGACTTCCCTTTATTTTTTACAAAGTTATTAATGAATTTAGGTCTAGGTAGTTTCTTTAAATACTCTTCAGTAATCCTTGGGTCTTGAATCTTTGCCCATATATTTCTTGTTGCACACGTTGAGAGCTACACCAATCTGTGCAGAAATATCTTCTTAAATCTTGGAACAAAACACAAAGTTTCCTAAATTATATCAAAGCCCAATTTTTACAACCTGTGTACATCCGGAGATAAATCAGTTATACTAGATTGAATATTCTTGACCTACGAAAAATCAGTGAGCGACCAAAAGGAAACTCACATAATCAATTTAAATATGTCAAGAAAACAATACAACATGTACTGATGTTCTGATACAGGATGTTACAACATCTGTCAAAACATCTGCCTCCTGGACAGCATGTTAGAACACATTCTAAAACATCATGTTGCAAACCATGTTTTAGCAACATTCTTATAATCCTACAACTATGGTATTAACAATCTCCGCATTTGGAAAATTTTGGCTAAAATACTCTTAGCGCAAAACTCCAGGATAGAAGAATAAAACCACAAACAAAATACATAAACAATATATCAGAGTTATAGCAGCTACACAATCAGATATGTATATTACTCCCCCTGTCACAAATAATAAGTTCTCCCCTTCATGAAAAAACCCACATCATAAGAGAGATCCAAAAGTATTCTCAAACAAACACCAGATAGGATGTTGGAATATTTGTTAAGACACCCTCATCCTGCATAATTGACTACATCAGTAGTAGCAGCAGAAGCACACACCAGGGGAGCAGCATGAAACATCATGCTCCCCCTAAATAGTTGCAATCATCATGAAGCAACCATAAACAACACAACACTTTACTCCCCCTTTTAGCCAATATATTGACAAAAACAAATAGAGTAAATGTACACACTGGAAACACATAAAGCAAGAAAATAAAGTGCACATAGGTAATACAAAAAGATGAAAGCACAAGTAAAATCACAAGTGGAAACAAACATCAAAACCATGCACACCTAAAGGAACCATACAACTACAGACGAAAGCAAATAAATTACTAAGCACCAGGTGGAAGCACACATGTTTTGGAACCACAATGTTTAGAACTTATATCAAAATAACATAGAGTGCCTTACAAAACTATTGGATCATTTTCCTGACAAATGTAAACTGGAAGAAAATAAACATAAAACATCATTAAATCCAGCAGTTCAACTACTGGTGTTGTTGGTCGTGTCTTCCTCTTCACGGTTGTTAGCTGGTAACTTGGATGGAGATGAAAAAGGGAAGGATGCTGAGGTCAAAAGGTATCGAGGTATGATTGGATCTCTTCTTTATCTTACCACATCTAGGCCAATATTATCTTTAATGTTTTTATGTGTGCACGATATCAATCCCTTCCTAAGGAATCACACTTAAAAGTAGTTAATCGCATTCTTAGACACCTTATCGGTACTTCTAAGTTTGGACTTTGGTATCCCAAGGGAAACGATTGTATCTTGGTTGGTTATTCCGATTCCGATTTTTCCCGTTGCAAATTGGATAGGAAAATTACTAGTGGAACTTGTCATATTTTTCCAAAATCCTTGATTAGTTGGCATAGTAAAAAGCAAGTTTTCGTTGCTTTGTCAACGGCCGAGGCGGAATACGTGGTAGCCGGTAGTTGTTGTGCTCAAATTTTGTGGCTTAAACAAAAACTACTTGATTTTGGTATTAAAGTTTTGCGTATTCTTATCATGTGCGACAACACTAGTTCCATTAATCAAACCAAAAATATTGTATTACATTCTCTCACTAAACATATTGAGATACGCCACCACTTCCTTTGTGATCATGTTGAAAAAGGGAATGTTGTGTTTGAGCATGTTGATAGTAAAAATCAACTTGCCGATATTTTCACTAAACCTCTCGCAACCAAACCATTTATCAACATACGTGGGGAATTGGGGATCATTGATATCTCAAATGTTGCTTAATTTTATTTTGTTGTTTCCACTTTATATTTTCAATATAACTTTTTGTTTGAGTATCTTACATAATGTGAGTGCAACTTCCATTCCACCAAAGAATGAGGTAATATCGTTCAATTCTCCTTGAAAGTAAGACTTTCCTTAATGCGTGTTATTTGTTTACTTCAAAAAATGCTTGATATTTTCTCAAATGATGAAAACCATGAATGCATGTCCAAATTTTTTGATTAATAATCATTGTGTGTTCTTAATCTATATTCTTATAATGACTTCATGTATTAATTCTTTCACATTTGTATAAATTTGTTCTTGTGTGGAAGCATGTGTTCTTCTTTATTTGTTTCTTTTTCTTGCACTTTTGCTTGAAGTATTTTTTATGCGTGATATTTTCTATATGTGTCTCTTGTTGTCTTGGCTACATGGTGTGACAAACGTCCTTATTTTGGTTTTAGTAGGACATATTTTTGTTGCTATGCTAGGCACATATGTGTGCGGCATCGGGAGTACCACTATGATGTGTTACTTGATTGTGACGCTATAAAAGCAACTTGACATATTTGTTATTTCCTGCTTGTTTATTCTTTATGCATTTATTGTTGTTGTAATGGTATTTGCCGATTATTTAAAATTTCGCATCATTTACATATACATGGGGATATGTGATTGTTGCTCTTCTATGCCAAATATCCTCTGCGTGATATATATGTATTGTTTTGGAACTATGATACTTCTCACAGTTTTCTATCTTTCTTTTTGATGTTGACAAAGGGGGAGAAGCATATGCAAGATGAAGTTGGGAAGCACAAAGTCATGGGGAGCCTTCAATAAATACAAGAATGCATTGTTGCATGTTTTCCCATCATCAAAAAGAGGGAATATGTGAGTACAACTTCGTCAATTGATGTTTTGCGTGATGTCAAAACTGGGAAGAACTAGCACCTTTGTACATTGGACATTATCTCTATGTCTTGTGGAACTCCTCTGCATTAGAGGTCTTAGGAATCATTAAAAAGTATTTTTAAATTGATCCAAGTCATTAAAAATAAGTTTTTGCATAAATTTTCACTGCATGTGTCGACACATCTATTTTAAGATCGACACATGCAACTCAGTTTGAAGCCTGTAGCTTCTGGAAGGCTCAGGTTGACACATGCATTGCATAGGTCGACACAAACTGGAGCATTTTTGAAATTGCATAAATTCTAATTTTATGTGTTAACACATATGGTTTTTAGGTCGACACATTTACTCTTGTTTTATAGCCTGTAGCCTCTAACTTGGTTTGGTCGACGCATAGTCTTACACAGGTCGACACATACAACTTAAAAATCATGTATGTGTCGACACATACAACTTAAAAATCATGTATGTGGTGACACATACGATTTATAGGTCGACACATACTGATTGTTGGGTCAATTTTATCAAATCTTTTTAATTCCAAATTT